TTTAAAAGACGATATCTCCGTTTGCATTAAACTTTCAGCTTCGTAACTTTGCAGATATTGTTTATGCTCAAGCAGCAACATTACACACTAACTAACGTTAAAAAAGTGAAATCGCAATCAACCACCCCTTTAACTGATATGAAAATAGTAAGACATTTTTTGAGGGGACAGATGCATCATTTTGTCCCTTTCTTATTGTGCTTGTAGGTGGTGTATTTCACAGCTACATTTCCTTATGTGATGCTGCTGGTGTTGCTAATTCGTGGGTTGACTCTTCCTGGAGCTCTGCAGGGGATTGTGTTTTACCTGTACCCTGAACCGGCCCGTCTCTTTGACCCGCAGGTAACCCCACCGTCTGCCCTTTCCTGGCATGTGACTTAATAACCCCTATACAAGGACTAGATCAGCTGATAGTATAAAGAAATGTTTTTGTTTTGTTTTTTTCACGTAGTCTATTTAAACTGCATTCACAACCAATAAAAAGTATGTTTTCTCTGTAAATAGCAAAAGAAAATTCAATTTAAAATTTGCTGTTATCAAAATAGCATTAACATATTACAATTTCTTGAGCCCTTCCCCAAGTACTTACTCACTTGTCTTGTGCATTTAGGTTTGGATGGAAGCAGGAGCTCAGATCTTTTTCTCCTATGCTTTGGGTACAGCCTCTCTTACTGTATTAGGCAGCTACAATAAATATAACAACAACTGCTACAGGTTAGTTCAGTATTATTGTATTATTTCCAGTATCTTTGTTTTTGGTATCTATTTCAAAGGTTGATCTTCAGCATATATTTGGGGGCATAGGAATGTCTGTCACATTAACTAATCAATGGGGTACCACAGAGTTCGATGTTTGGCCCTTCTCTTTTCTCTTCTGTTTAGAAAATAATATAGGCACAGGCACAGTGATTTTTGCACCACATATACATGTGTATGTGGAATTGATTGGATTGTTGGAAGCTGGGGCGTTGCTAACAAAATGGAGGCAGATCTGAATGCCAGTTTGCAGTTAGTGGTGGGGGATTTCTCTCCACTGGATTCACAGCCGACACCCAAGCATGAATAAATGTTTTATTTATTAACCTGATATATGAGGCAGAGACTGCCTCAGTCATTCAGGCAGTCTCTCTCTCATGTGCGCACGCTGTTTAGGCATGTTTTGTGCCGTTGATCGTTGTCGTCATCCTTAAGTCATATTCGTGAAAAAAATTAGTTTACGATGTCCTAAGAGTAATGTTGTCATAATATCCTAATATCTTTTCAATGTTTAGGGGTAACGTACTCCCTCATGACTGGTGTCAGTGTTGTGTTCTCACACAAGTGTTGTTTGATAATGCATTGAGTTAGTGTTCAGAGATGCATCGAGTTTGATTGTGCTGAAAGCATTCTGTCATGCCTGACCAATGTATGTGTTCGTTTACTGGGGTCTGAAACAGAGAGTTTAAGTAAAAAGATACGATAAGTTGATATTACCAGCTGTGTCGGTGTGATCCTTACCAAACGCAACAGTCAGTGCTATAAAGTGAAGCATCAGCTTCAGCTTTCCCCCCTGTCTTTTATCCCAGTGTTTACCCCTCACGTCACTAGCTCCGCGCTTGCGCCATAGCTCGTGACTAGGGCTGTGAATCTTTGGTTAGACAGCGAATCGATTCAATTCATGATTCATAGGTTTTCGATTCGATTCAAGAACGATTTTTGCAAATTCAGAACGATTCGATTCACAATTAAATTCGATTCGATTCTGCATTATTTAAGTGCATTCACAGGATTATTTAAATGATTCCTCTAAATTATTTAAATGTTTAGTCAGGGGGCAAATTACACAGCATGTTTACAGAACCATAGGTTAGAGAAAAAAACACTTTTGTCCATTGTTAGATGCTAGTTTAATGATGCTATGGCATGACATGGCATATGTAGAAATATATATAAATAAAAAAGAGCTTTAAAAGTAATATGTATAGGCTAACCATTTGTAATCTATAATTTTTTCCTAATGGCAATTTTATGATTGTCTTATATACTACAAACAATTATTTCAATTTTCTGCAGAGAATAAGGTAGAAAATATACTTTATAGTTTCTGTACTGTAATAAATTATATGTCAATTAGCACTGCATCATTCATAAATGTTATTTATTTATTGTGTTTATTGTCTTAACGTTTCATTCTGCTTTTTATTCAGTTTAGCTGCAGATATAGCCTGGCACGTCTTAAGTTCTATGAGCGCGAGATCACTTCTCTTTCAGTGCGAAAACTTCTTTATCTAATTTTCATCAAATAAAATGCTATAGTATTTAACTTTTCCTCTCCATAGGCGAATGATGATTCTGAAAGAAAACGCGCCCGATGTCTGTTTGCTATAGCAAGGAACGTATAACAACGAATGATTATCAGATAAACCTTGCGCTCTTATTTCAAGGTTGTTGTCAGTGAGACGAACGGAGCGCGAGCGCAATCTTGTGACAGTCACAGGCGGTAAATAATGGAGCGCGTGAAGGAGAGATGCGAGGGCACAAACACTGTTCAAGGTCTCCATTAATTCGTGCTTGGAGTAATTTAATGTGTATATATTTTGAAAGCATTGAATCGCTAAATCGCGATTCATTCGATTCTTGGCTTTTTTTAATCGATTACTGTCCGAAATCGGCGATTCACGATTCAAAAATCCATGTTTCAGATCGATGCATTGCATTGTCCGGGTTTGCAATCGATGCATCGAGAAAACAAGTGAATCGTTACCCCCCTACTCGTGACCGAAAGAAAAGATGAGTCATTTTGAGGGGGAGGGGAGGTTAACGTTTTTGATTAAAGATTACAAGGGCAAAATTAATTTTTTTAAAAATAATGAAGTGCACGGATAAATTATTTATAATAAACACTACAGTATTCCATTAAAAAATAAGAATTTTCCATTTTGATTTCATGGTGACTTTAAGCATGCAGATATGTAACAACATTGTATAACTTGTTTGTATGCTGTATACTGTTAAGCTACTACTTTTGAAAATAGAAGGCAGTATACTGCAGTATACATTCCAAACATAGCCTTTTTGTTGAATTCAACACATTTGTTCTGCTTGAGTTGTAATGTTGTATTGTGACCTGCAGGGGGGGATGTATGTATTCCAGTTGTTTGACTACTATGCCTGCAGTGGAGCCTGTCTTCTTTTCCTCTGTGTGTTTGAGTCTCTGGCCATGGGTTGGATCTTTGGTGAGTAGCAAAGAAGCTACAAAAACTGACCTTCAAATAAAGAATAGCATTTCCCTGATGTGTTGAGATAAAGGTAATGTAAAAGAAGCAAGGAATTGTAAAGATTAAAAGATAAAAGAATTGTAATATGAATGCATAATGTTAGTAGTATATTGGTAGCCACAACTTCCTTTCTAGTTTCAAAGACCTTTTATTAAATCTAAGCTGCCACAAAACCTCCTGATGTCAGCCAGATTAATTCAAACAGGACTGCCCACACTTATATGTCAATGACACCTTTCTGTAATCAAAAACTTAGCCTGCCTAGTCATGTTGAGGTACTGTAATTAGGAGAAAAGAAGACATATACTATTATTCTAAACACCATGTTGTGAAGTCCATGATGCTAAATTCTTCCCTACACCACAGGGGCTGAGAGAATGTTTGATGTCATTGAAGACATGACCAACTCACGACCCAATTACATATTCATGCTGTGCTGGAAATACCTGACTCCTCTCGTGTCTCTGGTGAGTGTCTCTGCATTCATTCATCTGTTTGATCTTCACAGATTTTTTTTACATTTGTCAAAAAGCCTATAAATGTCTTAATGGTCATTGTTTAGTTGTAGGATTATATGCCTGGATAAAACTATTTCTCACATTTGTCTGATCTCATTCTCCTTTTTCTTTCTCATCTATTCTTTACAACTTTCTCCTTCTCTTCTGTCCATTCTCAGGTGTCTTTTGTCTGTTCTCTTGTGAAGTACAAACCCCTCACTTTTAACCGCTGGTATGTGTACCCGGACTGGGCGTATGCACTAGGCTGGTTACTGGCCCTGTCATCCATTCTACTGGTGCCTGCATGGGCGCTTGGGCAACTGATTGTTGTAAAAGGAAGCTTAAAACAGGTGAGATTAATCATGTTCACCCCTTATGTTTCAACAGATGAACAGGCCACTGATATATCATGAAGGCAGGAATGTATGATTAAGTATTTAAAGGGCTAGTTCACCCAAAAATAAAAATTACTCCATGATTTACTCACCCTCAAGCCATCCTAGGTGTATATGACTTTCTTCTTTCAGACGAATACATTCGGAGTTATTTTTAAAAATGTCCTTGCTCTTCCAAGCTTTATAATGGCAATTAATGGGGGTTGAGATTTTGAAGCCCAAAAAAGTGCATGCATCTACCAATCATAAAAAGTGCTCCACGCGGCTCCAGGTGGTTGATGAAGGTCTTCTGAAGCGAAGTGATGCATTTGCATGAAAAATATCTGTATTTAGAACTTTATAAACCATACTCTCTAGCTTCCACTAACTGCCGTACGTGCGTTCATGAGAGACTGACCTTCCAACGGATGAGGTAGGACGAAGTGACAAATGCGGAAGCGCAGAGGAGAGAGCAAAGCAAAAGACTGGTCATGAATTAGAAGTACAAAACGAGGATTTGCAAAGAAAAATGTTGGATGATTTATAAGCCAAGAGGAGACTGGTTTTCCTTTGCTGTAAACAAAACTTGGTTCTCGCGAGACTAGCATTTTCTCACCAGAGCTTACAGCATGCATACGCCCTACGTCATCCACTGGAACTATCTTTTGAACGCGTACGAAAATTGGCATCAATTTAAATTTTTGGGTGAACTATCCCTTTAACCAAAGCTAACCCTAACTGCATAACTAACCAAGAGTAAATCAACCTAAAAAGGTAAAATTGTTTCACTGTGTTTGTATGTCCCGACAGCGTTGGCGTCACCTGTGTAGTCCTGACAAAAACCTCCCTGTCACCTGTAAGCAACAAACAGAAATACAAGAAAATACCCTAATCACAGAGATGGAAGTCTTAGTCAAGTGCGACACAAACTAAAAAAAATGTTTGAATAAACCAAAAAACATTCTTTTCACTATTTCTGGAGGTGCTCACTCTTGCTGTTTATTTCCACTTGTTTTTAGTGATCTTTGTAATATAATCAGCTATTCACATAATCAGCTGTTCATAGGTTATTGCACTGTCATTGTGCTTTCACGTTTGTATAATATTTTTTTTGTTTGTTTTAAATAAAAAATCTAAAAAAAAAAAAGGTTTCTTTAATAACTTGACTTTTTACAGCTGCCTGTGTCTCAGCATATATAATTACTTTAGTTTTATTTAGTTTAGAAATAGTGAATATTTTGATTTAGAGGTTGAACAGAACAGTATTCTGAATAACAGGCACGTGCACAGGTAGGGCTCAACCTGTGCAGAGCACATACCCTATTTGCCCTTACACTCCAAAGTGCCCTTTTTTCTTCTTTTTTTTTTTCTTTTTCTTCTTCAATAAATCAATGCTATTGGTCACCCTTTACGTCTGTCTGTCTGATTTACAAATATTTAGCCAATGAAAGGTATTAAAAATAGCTTGTGATGTGACTAAATCTTGTTGGATCTTGCGAGGGTAAATAAAGTTCTTGTTGTTTGAATAAGTACAACATTTTCTTTATGCAAGAAACACTATGTCTATAAAGGCTCATATTTTATGTATTTGAGGTCTGCGACATGGGACCGGAGAGAGGGCTAGCATTTGCGATCTAGTCATAGCCAATAGCCTACACTTAAAGGTGCAATAGGTGATTGTCTTCAGAAACATTTTATGTTATGCTGGTTGAAAGTCTCTTCACATCCCGATAGCAATCATTAAGTTAAGTGGTCTAAATGTATTTATCTGTATTTATA